TTTAATGAATCTTCTCGTTTCCAGATCGTCTTCGATTCTTCGTCCGTCCATCTCTGGACTTCTGTCGCCTATCCAGGAACCTTCCGACTCCGAGTTCAGCATGGGGGATATTGGTAAGATGAATGGTGTGTCTATTTTCGGGGGGGGTACTCCCAGAAAAATTGGGTGGGGGTGTGCGGCCCACTTCTCAAAACCCTTGACCTATTTAGGACCACACTCCGCGATTTTCCCTACCTTATTTATGACCTGACCTTTAAATCAAGACCCTGTTTCAGACCTGCGCCCTATAATTAGTTCTCTAGATCAGACCAATGGTCTTATCGATAATGATGAAAAAGTACGTTCTTCTGAAAAAAAAACATACCCAATTCAAGACGAGTGCAAAAACCAGACCCTATTTATGACAAAAATAGCCAAAATCGATACCTTGTTTATGACCAAAACGGCTGAAAAATCATACCCTTAGGGGCCGCTCATACCTATATTGTCCATAACAGGGAGTACCCCANGTACTCCCAGAAAAATTGGGTGGGGGTGTGCGGCCCACTTCTCAAAACCCTTGACCTATTTAGGACCACACTCCGCGATTTTCCCTACCTTATTTATGACCTGACCCTTAAATCAAGCCAAAATCGATACCCTGTTTATGACCAAAACGGCTGAAAAATCATACCTTTAGGGGCCGCTCATACCTATATTGTCCATAACAGGGAGTACCCCAGGGGGTCTATTTATTGATACGTCTTAATTTTTGCACTGTAAAACCTCTTAATTCTTGTGTACAGGAGAGCTTCCAACCCTTATGGAGCGGTCTGAGGTCACACAACCCCTTGAAGAACAAGCTTACGAAACATTTAGGTATTGTGTTAAAGTCTCGATCTCTTTCACCTCAATTATCTGGCTAAGTCAGGAATGAAATGAATGACGCGATTCTAGGGGTTTTCAAGGTTCCTTGAATGTTTTAAATCTGGAGCCAGTTGTTAAAAACGCGATATAATAGCTTTATAATTATTCAGCATCATCTTTATCTTTCTCCATATTATACTTGACACTACAATCACAACTTCGCGTAAATTTTTAAATTTTAATCCTGGATTAGCGCGGGAGTCCGCCTGATCAACGTACATACCGGGAACTTGGTGCTGCGGGACTAGCTCATGTTTCGTGCAATTCGTGTCGTCTTTTCTTGCGACAAAAGTTTGTCCACTGAAATGCCTGGTGCAACACACCGACAGATGAATATGTTTTACAACCTTGACGTTATCGCAGTGGTTTCGAAAAGTAGAATCAGTTGGCTCTACGTTTCGTAACACCTGCAAACACATTTTGAAACGTGCTGCATAGTGAAACAGCCCGTGCATCGCTTGCAGCATCTTACAGGAAAGTTCGTTGAAACATATCGCCTTATAAAACAGCGCCTTTAGAAATGGAAAGCCCGGCGAAAACAGTCTGTCGCTACTGCTGTTTTCATTACTTTCTCATGCAGCCGGACTTGTCGTGTTCTCTTTCTTAATCAGCTTTGTGATGGCTTTAATTCCACTAGGTTGGTTACTAAAGCTATGGGAGACAGTCACGAACCTGTCGTGTTTAGAAACTTGTGTCCTCCACAATCGACAGCACGCAAATCTGCAGCGAAAGTTTTCTATCACCTTCTCTGTGAGTATCATTATTAATAAAACAAGTCTCTCCTGTCCCCTCCCCCCGGCCCCAATGTACTCTGTAAATCTTCGGGCGGGGGTGTGTCGCTGGGCCACTGAAACCCTTACCCTATACTAGACCATGATCAGCTTAATTTTGCAACCCTTTTCTAGACTAGTCACCAAAATCCCTACCCTATCCCAGACTAGCTATTTTCCATGCATAAAATATCACTATCATAGTCCAACATACGCTAACTAAACCAATATCTTACAAAATCGCTTCCGAGTTTCAGTTACTATTATAGAACCCCGGGTAAAGAACCCTGCTCTAGACTAAATTATTTATACACTGGCCACTTTCCCGGTAAATTATATTCCATTCTAGACCAAAACTCTCTAGTTCCTATACCCAATCCCAGACTAAACTACCTGAAAACCATACCCTTCACAGCGGCACATACCCATGTCGCTTATATAGGAGTACCCCCCGCCCTCCACATACACCCCTGGGCTCTCATGTTTGCCTGATTGCATTACTCATTAAAAAACTAAAAGACGAATCTAAAAAAAATTAGACTACTTGAAGCTTCTTGATAGAGCGGTTTTCAGTTGACGGTCGAAAGCAATTTGGAATTGCTTTAGTTTTCTAATCGCCGCGCTGTGATTGGTTCAAAGAAGCTCGCCAGTAGGGCGGTTTTCATTTGAGTACCGTAAAATCGAAACCAAACCAATTACTTACCGATTAGACTGCTCAGCCAAACAAACCGTAGTAAAACCAAAACCACAACCAAGTAATTACTTCATTGCTTTCGACATTCTATTGAAAATCGCCTTATTAGCGAGGTTTTCAATTGGGTGTCGAAAAGTACATGGTTTTGCATCAACTACGCTACACGATTGGCTAAAAAATACTCACGCCACTTTTTCATCCAATCAGANCATACACTTCACAGCGGAACATACCCATTTCGCTTACATGGGAGTACCCCCCGCCCTCCACATACACCCCTGGGCTCTCATGTTTGCCTGATTGCATTACTCATTAAAAAACTAAAAGACAAATCTAAAAAAAGTAGACCACTTGAAGCTACTTGATAGAGCGGTTTTTTTGACGGTCGAAAGTAATTTGGAATTACTTCATTTTTCTAATCGCCGCGCTGTGATTGGTTCAAAGAAACTCGCCATTAGGGCGGTTTTCATTTGAGTACCGTAAAATCGAAACCAAACCAATTACTTACCAATTAGACTGCTCAGCCAAACAAACCGTAGTAAAACCAAAACCACAACCAAAGTAATTACTTCATTACTTTCGACATTCTATTGAAAATCGCCTTATTAGAGGTTTTCAATTGAGTGTCGAAAAGTGCATGGTTTTGCATCAACTACGCTACACGATTGGCTAAAAAATACTCACGCCACTTTTTCATCCAATCAGAAGTTAAACCAAAACCAATTGCGCTTTGCGTCAGCTACATGTAATGACCTCCAGTTTTGATTGGTTCACTGTATTGTCTGTGTTATTTGTGATTGGCTAGAGTGATTATTTTGGTTTTGGTTTTACTACACTCAGTTGAAAGCACTGCACTATCGCTTTAGTTTTGGTTTTACTGCACTTAGTTGAAAGCCGCTCTTACACTAGTGATAAAGCTTAGAGTGTATCTTGCTGACANTCAACTACGCTACACGATTGGCTAAAAAATACTCACGCCACTTTTTCATCCAATCAGAAGTAAAACCAAAACCAATTGCGCTTTGCGTCAGCCACATGTAATGACCTCCAGTTTTGATTGTTTCACTGTATTGTCTGTGTTATTTTTGATTGGCTAGAGTGATTACTTTGGTTTTGGTTTTACTACACTGAGTTGAAAGCACTGCACTATCGCTTTAGTTTTGGTTTTACTGCACTTAATTGAAAGCCGCTCTTACACTAGTGATAAAGCTTAGAGTGTATCTTGCTGACAACCCTGTGCTTTCTCTTTTCAGCATTGCATAAAAATGGCGTGTTTGAGTTAAAACAGAGAGACCCGTACAATCTGACAAATATTTACATCCATAAGGGGATGAACTTTTGATCGCTCCAAGCTGGGCTAACCTTAATGTTATCTTCTGGAAAGACTTGGTCTTCTTTTCAAAAACAACTGAATAGCTTTTATTTTTACTTGTTCTCGGTGCGACAAAGTCCATATCCCGAGTTGGTGTAGTCTGAATTTCAGCCGTCTCTTCCCTCTACCCCGAGGGGGGCGCTGTAAAGGGAAGAGACGGCTGAAATTCAGACTAGAGTTGGTGTAACTAAACGTCAACTGCATGGTTGCTCAGTTGTCTGGAAATAAAGTTAGGTAATCTTTTTGCCTTAGCCTACTAGACATACACATTCTATTTTTATCTATTTTTAAGCCCTACCAAAAGGGTCTGTATTTTTTATTGCCCTCGAAGAAATGTCGGTTTTTATTTCTAGTTGTAAAATGAAAGAGAAAAACGAAATAGCATTTTTTTTTTTTTTGCACCAATAATAAGTAGCGTTTCTTTACTCGTAAAGCTTTGTAGAAACAATAGAAATGTGCCTGATTCGATTTTGAAAATCGAAGCTCTGAAAGTTTTCCCTTCAACATGACGTTCTTAGGATACGTCATGCTGCCGTAGAAACTTGACGATCTGACGTAAGATAGCTACTTAAAACTTCCCGGTGCCTTTTTCCACAATTCTAGTACCTGATTCGACAGGTTTTTCTAAACAATTCAATGATGACCTCTTGGGTGTATTTTGGACGAAAAAGGCACTTTCTCTAAAGACAGACTACGATCACTTACTATGTAAAATCAGAGCTTTCTAACTACAATTCCACGTTAACGAAGGTTTAAAAAGAGGATAAGAATTATGAGATAACGAAACAGAGTGTAATAGTTTCTTTTACTTGTATTGTGGATAAATATATCTTTACATTCACATGGAATTCCATCATTTAATGATCTTGTACATTACAAAGTTGAGTTAAGTTAAAAAAAAAAATTATTGACTTGTTATGGCTTCTTTAAGAAAAAGCTAACAAGTCAAAATTCGCTAATTTAAAGTTTCATCAGCAATTGTACAAAGTAAATTTTGTATGCACAAATTATTTTTTATACATATTATGGTGCTTTCATATGTCATGTTTCACAATTATTTGCAGGATTATCTGTATAATGCATGCGATTACAACGCTTACATCATTCTTATTGCAGACTACTTTTAGAGAATCTTACATAAGCTACATTGAGGAAAAAGACTTGAATATTATGCATTATTTATCGCAAATCTAAATTATTGAAAAAGGAGGTGAAAAAAAATATTTAAACTACTTTTTTCTTGAATAAAGAAAGATTT